GGTCTGCCGGTTAAAAAGTCCAGGATCCAATTACAGAGGGAGGTATTTAGGCCCAGCAGGTTTAGTTTGTTTGAGCTGTTGTGGGATTATTGTGTTGAATGCTGAGCTGAAGTCGATGAACAACACATAGGAGTCTTTGTTTTCTAAGTGGGTAAGAGCCAGGTGGAGGGTGGAGGAAATTGCATCGTCTGTAGAGCGGTTTGGACGGTATGCAAACTGGAGCGGGTCAAGTGTGTTGGGGAGATTGGATTTGATATGGTGCATGACTAACCTCTCAAAGCACTTCATCATGATTGGGGTCAGTGATATGGGATGATAGTCATTCAGGTAGGACACAGGTGACTTCTTTGGTACTGGTATGATGGTGGTGGACTTGAGACACGTGGGGACAACTGCTTGACTTAGTGTTACGTGCTTGATGTTAAAAAGGGATGATACCGTAACATTTAGGTGGGACAACTGTTACTGGGTGTGGTGCGGATCAAAGACGATACTGAAATGTATTTCAAAAAGACTTTACTGAACGTATTAGGAGAAGATACAAGTGGTTTAAGTTTAACAAAGTCTAACAATAGGAAAGAAAAGAAAACAAAAACAGGAGTGTCACCCAAATTAAAGAAATAAACAAAACAGAACAATCCTTATAACTAACCTCTAAACTAACTACCAAAATAAAGAAATATGAAAATAAAACCGAAATCTTCAGCGTATGTGACGCCCGAACTAAAACTCTCATAAACTACAAACAAAAATACAAGGGTGGCATAACACTCACAATCCTAATCTAACAGAGTACAAACTAACCTAATCAAGAAACAAAACAAGCAGTATTATAACAACGACCGACTAAGTATTCGAATCATCACAGAAAGAAAAATGTGATTAAGTAGCTGGATACACCAACATGCATTCTTAACTTTAAACTTGACACGTAATCAGGCTGGAACTCTAAAACCGACATCCGCGATATCTTTTACGAAGAATTCGATGCAAGTCCATAGCTAAGAAACAAATCTATAAATAGATCAAAACACACAACAAGATACATGTAGCATCAGGAGACCACGTTGGAGCACGAGGTACGCTGGCATGGCACACACACACACAATCAGCTCGAGTCCTCAAATACAGCTGGCACGTCAGCAGATTGGCAGAACATCATGACGTCGTAATGATGATTGGCAGTCCCGTTAGCCATTAAACGCCGACCTAGGAGCGGAGCAACATTAAAGATGTCTGTTAAGACATCTGTCAGCTGTTCAGCACAGCCTCTCAGTACCCAGGCCTGGTATGTTGTCAGGACCTGCAGCCTTGTGTGGGTTAACCCTAGATAGGGTCTTCCTTACATCGACTGGAGACAGACAGAGCTCCTGGTCGTTGGGAGGTGTGGGCAGTTTTTGTGCAGGTTTGTCATTCTGCATTTCAAACCGTGCATAAAACTCATTGAGTGTATCTGGGAGGGATGTGTTGTCATCACAGGCCTGTGGCGGGGGGTTGTAGTCTGGGATGGTCTGTCTGTGAAGTGATTGTTGATTTTTTGAGCATACGACCGTTTTGCATTTTTGATGCCACAGGACAGATTGGCTCTTGCTGTTTTGAGGGCTTTGAGGGCTCCTGATCTGAATGCTTCATCTCTGGTCTTTAGCAGCCCACGAACCTCTGCTGTCATCCATGTCATCCATGTGGCACGTGTGGTGATGTTCTTGGTGACTGTCACATCATCAATGCACTTTTTGATGTAAGCAGTCACTGTTTCAGTGTACTCTTGCAGGTCTGTGTGGTCATGGTAGGTGGCTGCCTCTTTAAACATGTTCCAGTGTGTCCTAGAAGCAGTCCTGTAGTTCTGAGGTAGCATCATCTGGCCATACTGTGATCTGCTTTTGGACCGGTTTGGCAGGTTTGGCAAGTGGTCTGTATGCTGGTATTAGCATAACAGAGATGTGGTCTGAGTACCCGAGATGGGGGTGATGGGGGTGG